CCCAAAGCCTAAAAAAAGTCCCCTTTTGGGGCGGACCCCCCCGTAAAACCCATTTTAGGGGGGTCCCCCCCCCCCCCGTGCATATATAGTGTTCTTATGGTTCTCATCTTTAAGTGGAATATTCTTCAAGCCATTTAAGACTTCGTAAAGCTGACAGTCTAAGCGTGCGTACTAGTGAACATTGTAATTGTATAGGCTAGGTTATTGTTAGGTTTTAATAGTTATTGTTATGTTTCTACAGTGTATGCAAGAAAAAATACATTTATGTTCCATCTATTTTGGTTTACTTCGAAGCTGTTTTATTTAATAACTTTCTATCTTTCCTATCCATTGGTAAGTTCACCCTCACCAGATTATAAATAAATAAACATGTCTGTCTGTCCTTTCTTCACCTTTGATCAGTTTGATAGCGGTACCGACTGAGACCGCGCGATAATTAGGTGACATGCCGCCTGATAAAAAAGATAACATTATGCAAGGCACTTTGGGCTTCATTATTGTTCGCGTCACTTTCTGGAGTTTTGTTTTGAATTTAGTTACGCAGGAGTTATAATTGAAAGGTTGTGTCCGCCGGGTTCTAGTAAATTCCAGAAATTCAGAGAAAACACCTAGCGAGTTAAATAAAAAACGAGGGTTTATGACCGGAAATTCTGGCGAAGCCAAGTTAGACTGCCTCGCTAGTTGGTGTAATTTGTCCTGGTAAATGCCACAGACAGTCGGATTTCCATTATTATTTGCCAGACGCTTGACACTTGACACAGTTTGACACAGTTCGCGCTGTTCAGTTTTCGTAACAGAACTTTTGAATTGACAGATGAATTTTAAAATCCTTCTAGTTCCTTTCGATTAACAATGGCACACATTTGCCGTTCGTTTGACGGCATGAATAGAAGAATTTGTCACACACTCCTCGTCTCGCCCAAAATAAACTTTTTCTCCTTCGCATAAATATAGCGAGATTTAATACAAGAAAATACATTAAAAAGTACTTCCGTGCTCGCTATTTTTTGAAAGTTTTAAAATTTTTTATTTTCATTTTATTTTCCTTTTTTAAAAACAATTGAATTTTCTCTTTTTTTTTCATTTAAAAATATTGAGAAAAAATCTGGAGTCCAGAGTCCAGAGTCCAGAGTCCACCAGAGTCCAGAGTCCAGTCCAGGCTTTATACTATGCCTAATTTGGCTACCATTTATTTCGCATGTTTTAAATTATCTTTGTTTGGAAACCCATTTCTGTATTTTATATGATGTACAGAGTGTATATTTGAATTAACTGATGCACACCTCCTTCTCTTTATGGCTTCACCTGTCTTAAACAAGATTTATCTCAAAAACAACTTCAATAAACTTGTGTTAAACATAAGTACAATATTTATAAATCGTGTTTTTTTCCATTTTGGCTTCGATCATGGTTTTCTCATGTGTTTTGTGCCACCCATGAAGTATTTATTTTTGTGCTTTTTGCCGAGCAGTAATAATTACTTGAAAAGGGATTGGGAAAATGGACTGGGCCTCACTTAAGGGTGATGAGAAAAAGAAGTTGCTTCATACCTTACCAGCTAAACTCACAGAATCAAGTGATGCCATTCACGCAAACAGTAAAAGACACAGTGTTAAAGCTTCTACTTTGACTGAATACCTTCAAAGAACCCCAGTAACAGAGAATCATGTGGGGTTAGGGTAAGTTGGCAATTGATTACCACGTAACATGCATAAATGAAACTACTGCCCCCGAAAGAAATACAAAGAATGGAAGGCACGGATTGGGAATCTACATGCAGGTGCCTCAGTTTAGAAGGTGTGTGTTGTCAAACATGGACAACTAATAAAGAAAAGCCTAATGTTAATCTTGATTACAGACACGCAAATGAATAACCTCATTTCTTATCATGGCAAACAAGCGCAAAGGATATGGTAACAAGAACATTGCAATCTACATGCATGCAGCAGCCTATCAACTGCAAGACTCAACAAGTTTGAGAATGTCAAGCAGTTTAGTGGGCAAGGTAACAATCTCACAGACATATATTCTTAAGAGGGATTATTGGGTAGCAAGTTATATAATTATATATGAAGCACAAAAGTAAAGGCAATTTGTAAGACATGTTTATTTCTAAGGACTCTTTCTCTGGGTTTATCATTCTATGAAACTCCACAACTTGTTTCTCTTCAGGTGTAGAAAAAATGACACAGCACACAGCATTGTGCAGCGAAAATCACATAACTGGCACAGTCCAGGTGAGGTAATTAGGGAAGAACACAGAATGCGCTCACTCAGCTTAAAGGAAAGGAAAAAAAGAAGCTACCCAAAAAGAATCCTGAGTTTTGGAGCAATGGGAAACCAGCTTTCATGACAGAAGTAAAAAAATGCATAAGTGCTCAACATCATGATGTCTTCTTACAGAGGAACACACAAAATGAAGTGCAATCTTCCAGGAAGGACCAGGAAATGAAGTACCTTAGCTTAACAGGGAAGAACATTTTTGTGACCTGAGAACAGCCAGAAGACACAAACCTTTCGTGGTAAAGGAGATGAAACAAAGTGATTTCAAATCTCTTGAAGAAGTGAGAGCACATATGGTGACATATGCAAATACTGGGTAAAGATTCCAAACAGAGCATCCATAGCAAATAAAGTACAAGCATACCCTCAGTGAAACGGAGGCTAGGAAAATGGTTGATTTTCAAAAGAGAGGAAGAGGGCGCCCAGTAGATCTGAAACCAGTTCACTTAACACCTCTTTATAAGACTGCCCGTGAAATCTCAAAGGTAAAGTTTTGTGATTTGATGCACCTCCTGTCTTATGTTCCACCAGTTCATCATAGATTTAACCATTTGCTTAAGCTCTAACAGGTTCAAGCCATCAGCAGTGGTAATGGATCAAGTGGCCAGGAAAGTGAAGACAGTGTACGTATGATGTAGTCACTTTATAACAATTTTTCATTTATTTACTAAGAATGAAAAATGGTATGAATAAGGGTTTTCATTAGAAGGCAGCAACCTGCGATTGGCCTCTACATACTTTGGAAATTATACCCACCTATAATGCATTCTAGTTTCTCTTTTCTTCTTAATTTTTGTTCATTGCAGGGCCGCCTACTGAAGTTGGGGTGGACACCTTCTCTATGTTCCTTAAACTAACGCATCGTACGTTTGGTCCTTTCCTTTCCCCTTCTGACTTTTTTTTGTTTTCAGCATTACCACCCACCTGTTCTCTCAATAGTTTACCTGATGAGGTCATTTTGCAGATTCTGTCTGGTTTAAGCAACTGTTTCTACAGGCTAAGCCACCATTCTTCATTGTGGTTCACAATAAGGTCTTCTGACAACACCATTATCAAAAATGTAGTACATTTCAGGGAGTTAACAACATACAGCTGCAGAAATGAGACCAGTTTGGAATATAATTGTACATGACGAATAACAGTGTATTAACTTGAAGAAGTGAGACATCAGCTCCTTGAAATGCATCAGTGATGTTTCATTCCTTAATGACATGATGCAGTTGGAAGAGTTATGTATGGATCAATGTCTAAACATCAGTCCTGACGAGGTACTCAGAGGTCACCCCTAACCTTCAGAAACTGTCCATAAACATATGCTTTCAGTTTAAGTCATGTCACTTGCAGCAGTTGTGTGTCAATGATAAAAAGAAAGGTACTTGAACAAAGCAGCAACTTAACACTTTTTGCACGGCTTACTCCAATCGCTTTTCTGAACAATTTCACTGATTGGAATTCCGTGTTAACAGACTATAAAGACTATTTTGGGGGGTGATCTCTTGTTTTTGTACAGGCTTACTGACTAGTATCTTTTAAAAATATGCAAAATGTTTTTCGCTTCTATTATAACAGAGTTCAAACAACATGCGCGGGCTACGCACTTGGGCGGTGTGTTGTTTTAGAGAACTTGCAGAAATTAAACTGGTTTCCAATTATAAAACGAAGACCTAGCACCACTGAAAATCACTCAAAAAGCCCTCTACGATGATGTTTGGCCAGATTACTTACGCCTTAAATTCCATATAGGCACTAAGTTGGCTATTCCAACTGAAAGAGACACTTTTCAGGACTCAGAAGTGAGATTATTTAATACATTACCTGATAGATTAAGGCAAGAGCCTGACTACAGGAAGTTCATTAGGTTAGCGAAGAAGCTCATGTTCTCCAAAGGAGAAAGCATATGACAAATTATTATTATTATTATTTTTACCCCCACTGTTTTTTAATTGTACATATTTTTTTATCCAACCCTTCGTACTTATCCTTAATTTATTGTATACATCATTTTTAATTTAAAATCGGCTTGATTTTTTGTAATAATGTACTGTAGTTAGGGCATTAGTGGGCGAAGAGCCAGCTCGTGGAAGTACTACTAACAAAATCGTTATTACTATTATTATTATTAATATTATTAACAGTATTAGTCTTCTTAAGGATGCTTGACTTTAGTTTGAACAGTATGGTGGATGCATAGTTGGGCTGTAATGTGGTTGTAGTTTGGTGATAAACTGCTATGTCCTTACTTTGCATGAAAACACTGATATAATCGACGATTATTTTTTCTCTTTTGAGCCTTACGTGTTATTCAAAGAACCTAGTTCTGGCTCATCAATTGACATTGTTCAAATAAAATTTGCTGGCCTTCCTTGCCCCATTTACTATCATAGTTTAAGGGCCCTAATTTGGGTCGCACTTGTTCATATATGTTGAAGAAAATGCCTGAAAATAATGACTGTGACAGAACTGTGGCCATTACTGTTATCTGTTTTCACTAAATCTTAAAATGAACATTGCAGTGCTGGTAAAGATAACATGTATCATGATGTAAATAATATTCCTATTAAGAATTTCCCTCAAAAAGTATGCCAATATTTTTGGACTGTACTTCAATTAAAAGGTATATTTCTGTAACATAACTTATAGTTGGTTAGCCCACTATGGCTCTGAACGCGCAATTTGAAACCATGGGTATGGCCATTGGACAGACAACCTCCATAAGCGCAAAGCTGTCCGAGGAAGATGTGAACCTCCTTTCAAAATGTAGGCTAGCGCTTATGTTGATCTCTCTTGGCCATCAGAGTTAAAAGTCCTTTCACTATTGGTTTTGCAATGATGTCCCCTCTCTACTGTAGGCCCACAAGGTATAAAATAGCTGACATATAAGTACATTGTTATTCTTTCATGGTTAAACGAGAGGAACGCATCAAAGAACTAGTAAAATAGATCAGACCAAAGAATGACAAAAAAGGAGAAAGAAAAAGGGATAACCCTAGCAAGGTATTTCATACAAGCTGCATTTGCTTTCTTGACTAACGTATTAGCAAAACAGACGAACACTGAACTTTGATATTTCTTATCTTATTCAGAACCATCAAGTTGCTAAAATGCCACAAAATTTACGAGAAAGCTCTACTTCTACCCAACAAAATAGGATGAAGGATGGAGGAGGAGTGTGGGAACTAACTTAAAGTGAAGATGAGGAATTGACTGTTGATTACTTTTCAGCCAAAGCCATTCAACTGTTTTTTCCTCAAGGGGTTTCTATCAGGAATGAACGGAAACTTTGCTCAAAATAGCATTTCCTCCTTCAAAGACACGACAGGGAAAGAAATTACCTTTCAGTGTCATGGAATATTTGCAAGCAAGTCTTCAACATGTACCTTATGTCATCAGTTCAACAGAAAAGGAAGACAAGAAGTAAGGGAAAGAGTTGAAAGATCCTCTGCAGATATTAGAAGAGAATATAATTATTGACAGAAGAAACGTTTTCAGGGGATGCAGTGAAAGTCTGATGATAAGTGTAGCAATCAAAAGCATGTCTCGTGAGGTCATTCACCAAAACCAGAAGTGGCATTGCTGGGTGTTGCCCAAAGGGAAGATATGGAAACTCTGTGTACCACACAATCTTATGCTTCCTTCAACCGTCCTTGCAAAAAACCCAAATGTTTTGCAGTATACTGAAGTAGCAAATTGTAAATCATTCCACAATGTCTACTCCACGTCTCACCAANCTGGGTGTTGCCCAAAGGGAAGATATGGAAACTCTGTGTACCACACAATCTTATGCTTCCTTCAACCGTCCTTGCAAAAAACCCAAATGTTTTGCAGTATACTGAAGTAGCAAATTGTAAATCATTCCACAATGTCTACTCCACGTCTCACCAAGCTTCGAAAACAACCAGACAGCACTTGAGTACTACATCAAAAGCACTTAAGTGTCATTGTCTGAGAAAGTGTTCCAGGGGCCAAAAGTTGTGGTCAACCGATTTGGCTGAAACTTGGCACAGAAGTCGGGTGTGATGAGATATTTCAAAAGCCACTTTGGCTCACTCCTCTGTCATTTAGTTTTGGAGTTACAGGGAGTGTCTCATTTTTTGCCCTTTGAGCACCAAAAATCCAGCCTTCCAGGGGGCATTTTGAAAGTGTCATAAGACCACACTGGTAAATTGTGCTGCCAAATGAATTTGACCATGAACTCTACTATAATAGAGCTTTCAGTTCATCTATGTAACTTTATCCTCAAGTATTGCACAGAGAGGAGCCTGGGGCTAGAGTTTGGTATAGGTATGGCTTCCATAATCAGGTGACAAAAATTTGGCTTATTATGGTTTATTGAATCTTTGGAACAAACACTTCATGTCCCTCGAAGGTGATGCAAAATGGAATTTTAAGCATATTTCAGGCCATAAACAAACCAAATTGTTGAAAAGAAGTCCTTATTCTGTATTTGGTAAGTGAAAATGAATTGTCAGAGCCAAATCAATTTCGTTGTTTAGAAATACACCGACTCTTACCTTAAAATTGATCTAAAACGGGCCTCTGGTTAACACAACAAACACCTCATTAAGCAAAACAAGGGTGATTTTGTTCTTTGAAAACCTAGTAACCATTATAGAACACAAATGATGATGTTCTGACCTAGATATAACAATCTTTTTACAAGATGCTTAATTTTTTTTTTTTATTCAGTTTTATGTCATATTTCTAAGCATTAATCCAAGCATGGAAAGTCTCCATATTCAGTTGTCAGGCCCATCTTTTTTCTTCTATTTTTACCAGATAAAGTTAGTTTAACAAAACTTTTGTTAACATATAATCTTAGTCTGACCTTGTAATAGCCTGATTAGTTGTTGTAAATACCCATCAGCAAAGGAGCATGACCATACATACATAGATTATACAAACAAATACGAGCTTCAGTGGGCAGTATTGAGGTGACCGCTGATTTTCCAAGTCCTTTAGGCTGAAAAATTAAACCATCCATCCACAGTTAGGAGAGCTGGGTAACAAAAAGCTTTTGTTGCTTTTTTAAAGAAATTAACTCAAAGAAAGCCTTGCAATTGTCATTTTTTCAAATTAACTGGCCCGCTATTTTGGACTTTGACAGTGTGGGGACTGGGCCGAGTTCCCATCCAATCCTTCTCCCGTTTTGAGGAAATTTTAGTGTTTTTCATTAGGTGTGTTCGAAATTCTAGAAAGCGTTCTTTTTCAGGATAATTTACGATGGCACTTAATTCCTTTGGAGGGGTAAATGACCGGTGCGCTGCCACGTCATGTGGGCTATGCAAGAAACAGGAATGCTCCCTTCGTTGTCCTGTGATAGTGACATGACTGCCTGGTTAAAGGACAAGTAGAAGGGTTCAGGTGTGTCCGGAGAACAAGAGGAGGACCTGGTGGTACCAAAGCTACAGAGTGATTCAAAACATCAGTTAGGGATCATACACGCGCACAAACGGCTTTTATCGTGATCTACGGGATTCTTTTGATTGAAGAGGTGATGATATATAATTTATGATATTGTCGTCTCAAATTGTTTGTTTTATGGTTGATGGCATTCCCATGTTAACTCATTCGCTCCTGGAGATTTTGCTGAAAACGGCGTTTTGAAGCTAGTCGAGTGCACAAGTTAGCGGACAAAGTTGTCCTTGACCGTTAAAACTGATGACGTCACAAAGGGTAGAAAGGACGTGGATCCGCACGGGTGGTTACGGGCGGTTCAGGGGCGAATGGGTCAATCAAAAAACCTAAAAGTGGCCTTTTACCAACTTTTTCACCTGATTTGACATGAAATAGATAGATTTGGTTGTTTTATCCTGAAAAGTGGATTTTTTTCAAAAAGTTTGGTACTTTGCTTAACCCATTCGCTCCTAGAGATTTTACCGAAAACGGCATTTTGAAGCTAGTCGAGTGGTTTTCTGGACACTGTCGTGCTCTAAAGAGCTAAAACTTACCACAAACCAGTTTACAGGTTGTACACTTCATGGCCTTCAGATCCAGATGCAAAATATCAGCTTGCGAAGTTTGGGCATGCGCAGAAAGCAAAATTTCGACATAGTTTTTGGGTTTAAAAGTGACACAGCAGTCTTGACTTTACTTTTCACTTTCTCTCCTCCCCTCTTTTTTCGCTTTTCTTGCCTCATTTTTTTTTCTCTTGCTGGGCATTTAGTAGGCTTCATTTTGGTGGGAATAGCTTTTAGGAAAGCTTTTAGGATCTTAGGATTAGGTGAAAGGAAAGGTAGGTAGGCAATGGAACAAGATTTTCAAGGAGATTTTCAGGTCAATGTTACATGGTTTTTTGCCTCTTTCTCCGGTGTCCTTGACTGAATTGTGCTCATTTTGGTATGGTTTGAAAGATCTCTTCACTCTGCACAAGTTAGCGGACAAAGTTGTCCTGACTGTTAAAACTGATGACGTCACAAAGGGTAGAAAGGACGTGGATCCGCACAGGCGGTTACAGGCGGTTCAGGGGCGAATGGGTTAATCAAAAAACCTAAAAATGGCCTTTTACCAACTTTTTCACCTGATTTGACATGAAATAGACAGATTTGGTTGTTTTAAATCTATTATGATATGCTTATTGTTTTCAGTGCATCATGAATAATTTAGAAACTAATGTATCACCACAAAACATGAGGTGCGGTATATCATTTATTTTTCTGGCTCTTACACGCATGTAAACAGTTTTTTTCAAATCTAATCAAAGTTCGAAATGGGTTACTTTCTAATTTAGATTCGATTCACATTTTCGATCGTGTGTTGACTCTGTTGACTCGATAGAAATGACCGTGGAAAGAAGCTAATATAGGATCGAAGATGAGTGAATTCAATTAAGCCCCGCAGCTGTAAGGCCGTTTCCAACACTCGGCCTCACGAGCACTTGGCCCTTAAAAATTGAAAAATGTGTGAAAAAGTTGCCAAAGGCCTTTATATTTAGGTGCAATTGAAAGTGGTTCTTATGCTATCTAGTATTTTTAAGCAAAATTTACATTAGAAAAGGAAGGAGGTTTGTATTAAAACAAGATCAACGTCAGCCTCACGTTCGCTCGAAGGCTAGGACACTAAGCCTAAAACTATAAAATGGCCTTTTGTTTATTTTATTTTGGACGCCATATCAAACATTCGAAAGAATGTTTTACTCGATCTAAAGTTTGTTACCACGGCTGCACTATGGTTTCTTCGGCTTCGATAAATCACTCTTTCTCGTGTTAAGTTATAAAAATTCATTTTTAATGCACTTTGCAGCACAAACACAGAGGCTCTTCATGCAGTAAATAACCAGAGCGTGAACACCCATTCTTTTACCATCTGCCCTCTTTTATTCGCGCTCCAATGAAGTAACCAGGCCAATTCCCCATTTAAGAAACGAGAGGGGAACTCGGCAGGGTTAGCTTCGCAAAGACTTTCTGGGGAAGCGCCGGTCAGCTATTGGCCAATTTTTCCCCTGTCTTTAATAACAGTCCCAGACGTCTTTGCCAACGTTAACTTGACCCAGTTTTCGAGTCGTTTCTAAAGTGGAGAATACTATACAACTATCCCCCGAAGGGGAGGTAAATAGTGGTGGTATACAGAAACGCGAAGCGTCGAGGTATATATCTAGCGCTATAAACAGACCCTGAGGGGGATAGTTGTTTTAGTATTTACCAAATCAGTTGGATAAAAATCAAAAAGGAACTTTTTGTCAATAAAGGACGTCACTTAGAGTTTGTTTACGTTTCAGTGCACAGTGTTTCGGGGATCATCTTTTATGATTATGTTGCAAATTCAGTAAGAAAATTTTTTTCTACCGACCAGTAAACACCGACAAGCCAAATTGTGTCTCTTTCTTGGCCGTATTTGTTGGTGCAGCTGCTCCATTTACGAAACGAGAAGCCATTTTGAATCCCGTCCCAAAACAGTGAATATCCAAGGATATTTCTAAAAAAATCAGAAAGCGCGAAATATGCTATCCACTGATTTGGTAGATACTAAAAACAAATACCTTCCGCTAGTATTGACAAGACAGTACACGAAAGCAAATTACCGGCTCTTTTATTGACTCACATTTTTCCACTGACAAGACTCCTAAATTGTCAATAAGAAGTTAAGGGTTCATCTTGGTCCTTCAGTAATCAATAATCCAGCGAAAATGATATTCAAAACTGCCAATAAATTCATAATATACTCCTAACTAACGATGATTTACTCCAACCAGGAACATGGTCGGATAGTCATTGTTAGCGCGGGCCTGCATTTCAGTTTGAAAGCTTAAAAAATCAAAAAAATTGCCCCAAAAGTATCCAATATCTTTGAAGATTTTACATAAACACGTGAAAATTATGTGGTTATCATGTGACTAGCCTCAAGTCTCTTTGAATTTCTAAAATGGACGCGCACTTGGGAACAAAAACTTAATGTGGGGGGTGAGGAGGGTTGTATTTTAGCCTAGCAATAATCGCATCCAAAGTATGGTCGGGCGGTGGTAGCACGCACTGCCATCTTTGAGTCACCTTTGCCTTGGTGGTCGGAGGCAATTCTTGCACTAAATCTAGCAACGTTGGATCGGGCTCGCATAGATTTATACGTTTTAGAAACTTGCTGTTCTCCACCAAGGCATTTATTAGCACTGCATCTGCGACAGAGTCCATTGAAGCGAAGTTTATCAGCGAGATTGCTTCGATAAATTGACAATGACGAATCATATTTGGAATAAACATGCTCTCGGAAAGGCTGGCCTTGCCGAAAGCTCCATATTCCAGAATCTGCAACTTCGGTAGCATCCTTAAAACCTCTGCCATAGCGGATGGGTTGATGTTAGAAGACTGATATACTCCTAAGCATTTCAGCCTGGGGCAAGATCGCGATAGAATGTATAGTGCCTCGGGCGTAAGTGTTAAACTCCATCGTACGTCCAGCATTTCTAGGAATGTTCCTGTCTCCTGTCTTGCTATCTGCAGCAGTACAGCGTCAGTGACTGCGCGTCCAACACCGCAGTAGGACAAGTTGAGATACTTCAACGTTTTCACATTGGTGACTAAACTGAGAAGCCCTATCTGCGTAATGTTTGAGCAAGCCGAAATGTCGAGTTCCTCTACTGGCACGTACTTCCACTCTGGAATCACGAAACAGTCATCACGCACCGGAGTATAACGGAGAAGCAGAGTGCGCAATCGCGAACACGATCGAAATAACGTGCAAAATGTTCGTCCGTAAACGTACTTGCATCCGTTTAAACAAAATGATTCTAAAAGAGGGCAGCATTCGGCCACTTTACCGATAACATCATCTGTGATTGTGTCGCAGTTTGTGCAGTCAAGGATGACTAGCCTTTGCATCTTGGTGAACATAGAGGGGACCGCACCTTTTGAAGAATTATTTCCAATACCCAGGTATTTTACCTCGCAGAAGTGTCTTGCTATCCGACCAAGGAAACTGAAATCCCCTTTAACAGGCCTCAGTTCCACCAGTTCTAGCTGCGAAGGGAACTCGTATGTGATTTCTGTGTACTTTGGAGGCGGGCTTGGTGGCCGTAGCTTTGATCCGCGACTGAATATCAAGTATTTCAAACTTTTGCATTTTCTGTTTAATTCACTCAGTAACTCCAGCGAAACTTTACATCCGCCTAAATGAAGAATTGAAAGGGAATGAGAAAATCTTGTCCTTATGAGCATGTGCAGAGTCTCTTCGTCGAGCTTTGTGGCTTGTCGTTTCACATTCACAGCTTTCCATAATGAATGGTCATATGCCAGGCGTCGCCAGTCACTACAGACTTTGGCTACTCTTCCCAAGTCCGCAACAGGCAAAAAAGAAAATACTTTCAAAATCACTATTTCCGGCAAACAATCCATGCCCAGATGGACTGCTAGCTTATGAAGCCGCTAATACTATTAGCGGCACTAGCTTAAAAGCGTTCACTCCATTTTTCTAACAGGCCACTTTCTAATAAAAAGGAAATAATTATACGTCATAGAAGTTATTATATTAATACGTTTCCAGCCTCGCGCTGATTTTAAGGTGCGTATTCGAGGTGCTCGCGCGATGAGTTTAATTTTTAAAACACTTAAATCTTTCGTTCGTTCATGTTGAGGGGTCAGTGATTACAAAACAAGTGATTAGTACAGTACATGTCGGCTTGCTTATGTTTCCTTACCACTGATTGAGTCGTGGATGAATGGAAATATATGAAATGGCTCATATTTTGACAGCAATTAGCAATTAGAGTGTGAGCTCATTCCTGTTGAGCAAACGGTCAACAAAGCCACCTTAAAAAATTCGGCCTGGGGAGAATATAATTTTTGGAGGCCAACACTTTGTTCATAAGGAAACGTTCAATATTTTTGCTCTGATCACACGGAACTGACAAACCAGGTTGATTTTAAAGTTCTGTCAGTGCTTTACAATCTGCTACCTTAACATTCAAATACTAAAATGGCGTTTACCAGTTGAGTTACCACGAGTCCTGCAGCCACTCCTTTGCTTTTGCCGTACAAAATTTAGACGGTTATTGTGTTCACACTGTGCCTTTCGTTTCGACTTCAAGACTTCCCGACTGGTGAGAATTTCTCTATTAATCAGTGCCATAACAAAGAGTTTTGCGTTTTTTCTCGGGAAACTCAATTTATAAAAGCAATAGAAACCTTTTTTCCTGTATTTGTATAGCCTGATATAAACACTCGAGCGGTTGGAAGAATTGGCCACTCCAGAAAATACCATAACATACCATAATGCTCTTTGTTTGTCACCCCAAAATTTTGCATAAGCATTGTTTTCAGTTTCTCTTGGGGCTATTTTAACTCCCAAAAGGAATTGAAGACAATGCTTATGCAAAATTTTGGGGTGACAAACAAAGATCATTATGGTATGTTATGGTATTTTCTGGAGTGGTCAATTCTCAACAGTTATGCAAACCCGAGACGAAGTCGAGGGTTTGCATAACTGTCTCGAAGTCCCCCAACCCCTCTCGTCATCAGGCTATGCAAACAAGGAAAACGTGCTTAAATAATTACGACTTTGAAATCATACTGTGACGTAATGCAATTAAAAGATATGACCGGGATCGGGACGTTCGGGATGAAGGGAAAATTTTGGTCGAGATGGCGGGATTGAAGAACCCTATGGGGGACCCTCATTGTCCTGGCGAGCTACTTGGATGCTCCCTCGGGAGCAAATCTGTTTCAACCTCGTCTCCAGGACGCTTTTCCCTGGCTTAGGAAAGCAGGGTAAAGCGCCCTGGGGACGAGGTTGAATCTGGTTATCAAACATGAAGTCTGGGCAACACCGCGGGAAAACGTCTACGCATTACGCATGCGCCAGGTTGAGCATTTCCGGTCACTTTCGGTCACTTTTTCAGTCACACCTTTCCATAGTCTCCCCCGCGCTCATTCTCGTCCCCAGAGCCCGTCGTTTCTTGGTCACGTGGTTGGGAAATCGGTTACAAATTAAGCCGAGTGGCTCCGGGGACAAGAATGCCGCGCGCTCGGCTTCATGCTGTCTGCAGCTTGTCGTGCAGCTTGTGGTTCAGTTGTTCTGCTTCATGCTGCTCGTGTTTTTGACTATTTTGTAGTCACTGAAATTGCTTTTATGGATAACCAGGCATAGATCACTGAAACAATTAGTCGATTAGATTCAGAAAAGGTAAGTTGATAATAACTTGTGTAATTTTGGTTAATTTGAGCGTCAGGTAAACTGATTTTCTTTCACGAAAACAAAGTTTTTGACTGCCATTTTTCACTTAACCTGGCTGAAACTAAGTCATAAAAAGTTATCATTGCAAGCCAGTTGTGTATTGTAGTTGTAATTTTCGGTTCCTCAATTTCTCAGTCTTGTCTTAAAACCGCTTCGAGCTTTATTTGGAAAACGACAACATCCAGTCGCTTTGTAGTTTATTTACCAGTGAGTTTAATTTTACCGTGTTTTGAAACGACGTTCTTCTGAGGTGATTGCCATGAAACATAAGCTTTATTATACTGCTGAGGCTGGCAGCAAGTTGACAACGCTATTTATTTATTTTTTTCATTCTCCGAATGAGAGAGCGAAAGCTGCTTCGATGGCTTTTAGAAGTCGAAATTTTCATGGCATGTATTTAGCAGTTTCGTGTTTGCATGAGATGCAGCCGAGCCGCACAGTCTGAAATTATTTAAGTCCTCAACAAAAGAACAACCATGTAAAAGAATTAAATAGGCATTTTCTTGAATGAAAGTACGTTTTAAGGCATGTTTAGTTTCTCGGCACCGAAAGCTCCGGGTATTCGTGACCGCTGTCATCAAAGTCGCGGTTGTCATTTATCAAAAAACCTAAAAATGGCCTTTTACCAACTTTTTCACCTGATTTGACATGAAATAGACAGATTTGGTTGTTTTATCCTGAAAAGTGGATTTTTTTCAAAAAGTTTGGTACTTTGCTTAATTTCCTGGGTCGTTACAAAGAGCACTGAACATTCAACAAACTCATTGTAGCAGTATCTTTATATAACAAAAAAACAACAACAACAACAACAATGATAAGAATAACTTCAAGGCTTTCTTTTCTCTGCTCGAGCTGTTTGTTTACATTCAGCTTGTCACGTGCACACACTTATCGCGCAATGCACAATTTACCGGTTTCCATTATTTGCCCATTTCAACAAAAATCTTTGCAAACATTCTGCATCTAAGCTTTTAGATGAAATTGACATTTTCAGCGAGAAACTGTCATTAAAATGTCGTCACAAACTCGAACGAATTAATTGATATCATTGGATTGCTTTGAATAATGCATAGGCAATGAACACGCATGTGTTCTCCTTGAATGGGATCTGACTCAGAATCGTTCTGAAAGAGCACGGAAGACTCATGTATTTTTGTAGAAAACAATTGTTTAATAATTATTATTTAAATAAAAAATTATTTAAAATAATCTTAATTATTTAATTAAAAAATCAATGAAAAGTTACCTAAATATTTTTGTAACCATGAGTGCTACAGTGTATCTCCTAAACCTATCTAAAATTCCCTAAAAAACTCAATAAATTATTTATTTATTATTATTTATTTTTTCACCCCACTGGGTGAATAAGCACTGATAAGTTGAAGTGTAGATGACTCTGAAAAACTGCTGATTTGTTGTGCTCTGTGGACAGTACTCTAGAAACTTCTCTACCATGTGAGTGCACTGAGCCCTCTCTTGGTTGATAGGAATAGAAAAAGATAAAAACCTTTTTTAAACGTTTTTTGCCTGTGAAATGTTGCCAAAATTTCGGGTGAGTATTCAAACTGCTATTCAGTTTTCTATGTATACTACTATTCAAGTTCTCAAATTTGTCAATTTTTTTCTAATATTCTTGAGATTTTCTAAAATTCTTTTTGGATTCTAAAATTCCTATCAACATTCCTGAGAAATTATGCAGCTAAACCTATTTTAAGTTGACTTGTCTTCGGCGAAATGGGGAAGTAAAGGAGAACGATGGAGTTTCAATGCAAGCCGGCTCGAATTGTGCATTGCCAAACTTAGCATTGCTTGATAAGCCTGTCCATGTGACAAGCTGAATGTAAACAAACAGCTCGAGCAGACAAAAAACAGCCTTCAAGTTATTCTTATCATTGTTGTTGTTGTCGTTGGTTTTTTTTTTACACAAAGGTATTGCTACGATGAGTTTGTTGAATGTTCAGTGGTCTTCGTAAGGACCCAGGAAATTAACATGGGAATCCCATAAACAAACAATCTGAGACGACAATATCGTAAATTATATGTTATTGCTTCTTCAATCAAAAGAGTCCCGTAGATCACAATAAAAGCCATTTGTGCACGTGTATGATCCCTAACTGATGTTTTGAATCACTCTGTAGCTTTGGTATCACCAGGTCTTCCTCTTGTTGTCCGGACACACCTGAACCCTTCTACTTGTCCTTTAACCAGGCAGTCATGTCACTATCACAAGACAACAAAGGAAGCATTCCTGTTTCTTGCACAGCCCATGACGTGGCACTGCACTGGTCATTTACCCTCCAAAGGAATAAAGTGCCATCGTGAATTATCCTGAAACAGAACACTTTCTAGAATTTTGAACACTCCTGATGAAAAACACAAAAATTCCCGCGAAACAGGAGAAGGTTGGATAGGAACTCGGCCCAGTCCCCACACTCTCCAAATCCAAAATGGCGGGCCAGTTAATTTGATATAATAACTGCATCATCTTGATGCAAGGCTTTCTTTGAGTTAATTTCTTTAAAAAGCAACAAAAGCTTTTCGTTACCCAGCTCTCCTAACAGTGGATGGATGGTTTAATTTTTTCAGCTCGAAATGACTTGCAAAATCAGAGGTCACCTCGTTACTGCTCACTGAAGCTCGTATTTGTTTGTATCTATGTATGCATGGTCATGCTCCTTTGCTGATGGGTATTTGCAACAAATATTTCAGGCTATTACAAGGTCTTACGAAGATTATATGTTAACGAACGTTTTTTTAAGCTAACTTTATCTGGTAAAAATATAAACAAATGGGCTTGACAAAATAAGGAGACTTTCCATGCTTGGAGTGATGCTTAGAAATGTGACGTGAAACTGATTAAAAATTAAAGCATTAAGCATCTTGTAAAAAGATCGTTATATCTAGGTCAGAACATCATCAGTAATTGTGTTCTATGATGGTTTCTAGGTTTTCAAAGAAATAAATCAACCTTGTTTTGCTAAATCATGTTGTGTTTGTTGTGCTAATCAGAAGCCCATTTTAGATTAATTTTAAGGTAAGAGTCGGTGTTTTTCTAAACAACTAAACTGATTTGGCTTTGACAATTCATTTTCACTTACCAAATACAGAATAAGGGCTTCTTTTTAACAATTTGGTTTGTTTATGGCCTGAACTATACTCAAAA